TTTATTCCCGAAAAAAAAAAAAAAAAAGAAGTGTAATGGCTACAACAGCAATCGAGACCCTTAGACACGCAGTTAGAATAATATCATGAAAAGGAAAGTGTATTACCAATACAGACAGCGTTATATTCCAGAACTTGGCCGTGTTAAGCTTTAAGCTTCCAAGTTTAAGTGATTGACAGATTTGAATATTCTGAACAAGCATTGGTAGAAGGTGAGTATGTACAAGCTTCTTTGTATTATGAGACTACAGAAACTTCAGTTATTCTGCTCGTGAGAGAAGGTGAGAAGGTAATCTCACAATGTACTGGCTTCACCTACTTTGAGAGATCTTCAGAGAAGGTGCCAAAGGTAACACAGTTCAAAACAAGATCTCGTAAGAGGTTGATCAGACAAGCAGAAAGGTGCACATCTCCTGTCAGTGTACAGAGAGAAGTGGTATTGAGCCCTCACTTTCTTCTGCCATACAAGGAATGTAAGGGAAACTTTAGCTGCAAAATGCAAAACTTTTGAAACAGCAACAGGAGGGTTAGGGAGAATATCCATCCCTTGTTGGACGCCGAGGGCAACTTGGTGACTAAGGGTCAGGATAAGGTTGAGATACTTAATGCCTTCTTTGCCTCAGTCTTTAATAGTAAGACTTCTTACTATCTGAAGTTCCCAGTGTTCCCTTGAACACAGCCCCCTGTGCTGGTAGATAGGGATGGGAAACAGAATAAGCCCTGCATAATCCAGGATGAGATAGTTTTGGACCTGCTCTGAAAGTTGGATGCTCACAAGTCCATGTGGCCGGATGGATTGCATCCTAGAGCGCTGAGGGAGTTGGTGGATATGGTTGCCAAGCCACTCTCCATCATTCTTCGGCAGTCCTGGCTAAATGGGGATGTCCCAAAGGACTACAGATTGGAAAAAAAAAAAAAACAAATGCCCATCTTCAGAAAGGGCCAGAAAGATGATACTGGTAGCTGCAGACCTATCAGTCTCACCTTGGTGCCCGGGAGGGTTATGGAATGGATAATCTCAGAAGCCATCATTGATCAATTAATGGTCAACGAGGGGATCAGGCCCAGTCAGCATGGATTTCTGAACGGTAGATCCTGCCTGACAAACCTGATTTCATTCTATGACAAGGTGACCTGCTTAGTGGATGAAGGTAAGGCTGTTGATGTGGTCTACCTGGACTTCCGTAAGGTCTTTGACACTGTCCCCTACAACATTCTTGTGGAGAAGCTGGCTGTCCAAGGTTTGGATGGATGTACGCTCCATTGGGTGAAACACTGGCTAGATGGCCGGACCCAAAGAGTTGTGGTCAGTGCAGTTAAATCCAGTTGGCAGCTGGTCACGAGTGGTGTCCCACAGGACTTGGTACTGTGGCCGCTTCTATTTAACATCTTTATTAATGATCTTGATGAGGGGATTGAGTGCACCCTCAGTAAGTTCGCACACGACACCAAGTTGGGAGGGAGTGTTGAACTGCCTGAGGGGAGAAGAGCACTACAGAGGGACCTGGATAGACTGGATTGATGGCCAAACTGCATGATTTTCAATAGGACCAAGTGCTGGATCCTGCATTTTGGTCGCAACAACTCCAGGCAACCCTACGGGCTTGAGGAAAAGTGGCTGGAAAGCTGCCTGATGGAAGGGGACCATGGTGTACTGATGGACAGTCGGCTGAATATGAGCCAGCAGTGTGCCCAGGTGGCCAAGAAGGCCAATGGCATCCTGGCTTGTATCAGGAATGGTGTGGTGAGCTGGACTAGGGAAGTCATCCTGCCCCTGTACTCAGCTCTGGTGAGGCCTCACCTTGAGTACTGTGTTCAGTTTGGGGCACCTCAGTACAGAAAGGACACTGAGGTGCTGGAGCAGGTCCAAAGAAGGGCAACAAGGCTTGTGAAGGGCTTGTAGAATATGGCCTATGAGGAGAGACTGAAGGAACTGGGGCTGTTCAGTCTGGGGAAAAGGAGGCTGAGGGGAGACCTTACTGCTCTCTTGCAATATCTGAAAGATGCATACATTGAGAGTGGGGTTGGTCTCTTCTCACTGGTGACAGGATGAGGGGAAATGGCCTCAAGTTGCACCAGGGTAAGGTTAGGTTGAATATCAGGAAACAATTCTTTACAGAAAGGGTTGTTGAGCACTGGAATAGGCTCCCCATGGAGATAGTTGAGTCACCATCCCTGGATGTGTTTAAAAACCATTTGGATGTGGTGCTCATGATTTAGTGGAGGGTTGTTTGTTAGGGTAGTATGGTTAGGTTACAGTTGGACTCGATGATCTTAAGGTCTTTTCCAACCTGAGTGATTCTATGATTCTGTGATTCTATGAATGTCTTCTTCCATCAAAACACTGGAATACTTGCACAGTCTGCTTCAACACCTGAAAGGACTTTTCTGGCTTCTTTGCACAATAGAAGCTAGAGGACATCCTTGATTATACCTATCTTTGCTGACAAATTGGCTTGCTTACCTTCTAATTCCTCCTTGAGCACAAGAACATGATCAGGAACGCACAAGTTCATACCAAGCACCCCAGAGGCTCATTTGATAAAGACCATCCCCAGCAATATTGCACTTCTGCTCAAAATGTCAGTGACATATACCTCCCTGATATTCTGAGCAGCTCCCTCTCCTTCAATTGTGAATTGGTATCCTGGAATGATATTTTAGAAAGGAGGTCTAGGAGAGAAGAGGCACTACCTAAAGGGAGGTCTAAAAGACAATGTGGCTCTTCAAGACACAGCCCAGCACATATATCCATACTGAGGGCAAGGGTTGTGATTTGTGTGGCAACAGCCATACCAACTCCAGTCACAATAACTTGTTTAAGAAAATAGAACAAAAAGGGGCCCAAAATACAAATCGTTAATTATACCATAGAAATTGTTGATATGGCTAGAAACTTCAGTTTTTATGCAGTTTGGAGATTAAAAACTAACCATCACATCAGTGATACTGCTTGAGATGCTGTTTTATTCTCATGCACTTAGACAAGATCTTAGCCAAAACAGTGTCTGAATACTAAACCCAGGCAAATCAGCTACAGTGGGTATTTTACTTCAGATCAACTTCCATTCACATCAGATGAACTTTCATTTCTGACTGTATGTACACTTGCACAGACCAATCATCAGGTAACCTTAATGGGACAACACATATGCAGACCTATAAAAATAGAAAATGTGTATGGGATCAGGACACTCGGACAACAAAATAAAAAAAATCAGATTTTCTTATCGACCCAGCAGTGTGGCTACTCATCTGGTATCTTATAAAAAGAGAATGGGTAAAGGTCCTGCAAATGACAAAGCACAAAGCCTTTTAAAAGCCGTGGATGCTCTTTGCTTCTGGCTACCACAGGTTAAGGTATCTCTAGTCAGAAGTCCAGAAGTAGAGGGTATATCCAGAATGCCACCTTCAGTTTTCCTGTTTGGGCTTTGATTTGTAGATCAAATCAAAGATCTCCCATATTATTTTTGAAGCTTCAAGATTTACTTCAAACTTTACTACAACTATCCAGATATCATGAGTGCCAATGTCCTGTTACACACGGCACTGTCTATTCAGCTGCTGATGGAACACATCTTGCCTTAATACCTCAGCAAGTGACAGCCCCAGAAATAATGTCTGGTAGGCTGTTACATATATTACTATTTAACACATTGTCATACCTTCTTTCATTAAAGAGGTCTTTCCAGCAAATGAAATGTTCATTTATTTTCAATCCTGCATTTTACGTTAAAATGCTACCAATTTTTCTTTGATCAAAAGTCTTTGTCTCATCTAATTTTTGTCCAAAGTCTTGTTTACTGAAGCCACCAGTTTACTCTTTATTATTTTTCTTACTGTTTAATCATAATCAGATACAAGATGTTCCTTAAGGTGTTTCCTAATTTTATCAAATACCATAATTTTTCCAACGAGTTCCGGTACTGTATCTTCATTTCATTGTTCATTTTGTCACACTTCCAAGTCTTACTATAACTCAGAGCTTGCTATACTGCTGTATGCTCTACAGGTTGTTTAAACATGAAGTGCTCTTGGCTTGTTATCCTAAAAAGCATATCATGTACACAGAAAATAAGTTGTTTCTGAAGTTAAGATTTGCTTTGTTCCTCTTCCTATCAATGATGTTTGTTGATGTAGCAAATAACTGTGACAACTGTATTTGGCCATTGACTGCAACGCAAGTTATTTTGTTTCTTTGATAGGTAAATAAAATACTGCTGTCTTTCAGAATCATTGTAAGACGGAGGACATATGCCTAAACATATTAAAATCAGATTCATAAGGCAGATACAGCGTGAGCAGTAAAGCAACCATTCTGCTAGCTGAAAAACTAAGACGTAACATATTGAAATGGAATCCATTGAGGGCAAGGCATGGACTTTCATTGCTGTGCTGCTCAGCTGCTTCTTCAAGAAGCTTCTCTGGTGCTAAAAATGTGTTCATGCAGTTCCCTCAAAAGTAAAAGTTACTTTCACAGAGCCGCTCCAGCCATGTTAAAGCTGTCAGCTTTTACTTTTTCCCCTTTCATTACATCTCTGTTAAAGTATTTGACAAAGAACAAATCTGAGTCCAAATTGCAGAGATTCTTTAAAATTGTAAATTAAGTCCCTTACTAAATACTGGTCTTGTACCATTTAACCCTCAGAACAGAGGAGAGACTCACAGATATCAGAAATAGGAAGGATGCAGCGAAAATCTTATTTTTCAATATGCTATATGTACCACTTTTACTGCAATTAAAAGCCACAGCTAATCAGAGTCCTTGAGGAAAGAGGATGAATTTTGACACTTTCTGCCTACATTTGGCTCAGGTGTTACTCTGCCTAAATGGAAAAATGCTTAAGTTAAAAAGTATAACTTCCCATTTTAAATGAAAATACATATTGTCCCAAACACAATTTCCTTACACTCTACTAAACACAGACAGGGATGGTTAAAGGCTACAAAATCTTTAGGTTCTCCACTGATGCATTAACTAAACAAAAAAGACAACCTTACTTGTTTCAGAAAGCTTTATTAGAATAGGAATCTTTGAAGACAAACACAAAAGATTCTAATATGTTTAGATTTTATAATGTAAACAACTAATTTAATGCATCACTAGCAATATACAATAGTCGCCATCTTGCAACATGAATGCAAGTAAGAAACTGATGTAATCTGTGAGATATTTCAAAATAATTAATTTGAGAATTAAAAAAAAAAAAAAAAAAGAATTTTTATTGTGTAAACTCTCCCTGTTTGCCTTTTTTAAAAGGATCAGAAAACCAGAGCAGTGGAACCTTTGCTAAATGAAGGTAACAAGCAATCATTTGAACTGGCCTCTAAATTAAGAATGTGTAATTGCTTGAGAAAAGCCATTTGATCAAAAATATTTCAAGTGTTACGTATCAGAAGAGTTCAAAAATAATGCCACAAGATCCAGTTCATTTACATGAGGGCCAAAAACCTTTCAACTTTTTGCAGGTTTTCTCAAGGTAGTTTGACATGTCTGCACTGTTGTGTAATATTTCCCAGCATGTTAGACTTCTGTGCTGGTATTTTTGTTCTGTAAGGGCAAATCAGGCTTTAAACATTCTGGGGTCAAGCCAACATTTGATTCCTTCTTTTCTCTCCCTCAACTCCCTCTAAAACCTGTGTCTCCTTGCTTAACTATTATGCAGAAATTAGAAAATTATACCAAATGCTCCTTTGTATTTTTTTCCCCCTCCTCTATTATTTTCCTTATAAGGATGGACATGCATAAGAGGACTGAAACAAAGTTCTCACACACTGATCCCTGTTTAATTTTGATTTTGAAAGAATGATCCTGTTCTCCAGCACACTCCAAAATCCAGCCCTAGATCCTGCACCGATAAACCAAGGCACACTATGCACGAGCAAAAGCCTCATACAGGTCCTGCTGTCCCACAAAATGAATGACAGTGTATCAGTGCAACACTTTACATCAGTGACAATGGGGTACTGAATCAAATACAACAGCATGGAAATCTCCTCAATTCATAATTTCACACAGCATGCTCTGCTGGAAAAAAATTACTGCCATTATTTACAACAACGCTGAAGTATGAAATACTTAGGGAGTAGTCTGAAATAGGCCTGGCTTGCTGAATAGCCTGGCATTTTGAAGTCATGGTTGAGCAGGCCTTTTATGATCTCAGAAAGCAGCTGGAATCTTTAAGCTGCTGGGAGGAGACGTGTATCAGTAATAGGTGTGCTTTTCATGTGAATAGTTGAGGCGTGACAGGTGCAGGGACTGGGACTGCTTGCAGCACCAGTGCCAGCAGCATACACAATCCTGCCTTCAGCACCCGTCTTAGAGCAACGCTGACAATGTAACAGATTTAGCAATAAATATGTGCCAAGATGTCCCCTATAAATCCATGCAACTCGGTTTTAAAATTCCTGACACAAACGCGACGCTTTTTTACACTGTTGAGGAAAGGAAGCTTTCAATTTGTCTGCAGGTTATGCTCAGAGGAATTACAGAAGGGAGGCTTCCTGGGTGCTGCTGGGAGGTGCAGAGACCAGCTGAATGTGTCTTACTACCTGAAATTGTCTTTGCAGCCAATCCAGCAGCCAAGTGACCCATGTGGGAACTACCACCCATTTCTAGCAGTGGCACGGAGGTTTGGCAATGCCGCCACCAGCTGGATGTGCGCTGCTCTCCGGGCCTTGCCTGGGGGCAAGCACGTTCTGTCCTAAAAATACATACACTGGAGAAAGCAGTGTTGCCTTGACCAAATCTGCTCCCAGTCTTGGGATGTTATCTGTTATGCTTTCTTAGCTTTGGCCATTTCTGGCTAAAACAAAAGTGCAAGATCATAGAATCACAGAATCATAGAATGGCCTGGGTTGAAAAGGCCCATAATGATCATCTAGCTTCAATCCCCCTGCTACATGCAGGATCTCCAAACACTAGACCAGGCTGCCCAGAACCACATCCAGCCTGGCCTTCAATGCCTCCAGGGATGGGGCATCCACAGCCTAATTGGACAACCTGATTCACCCAATAGCCAACAGGGAAGGACTTTGATTTACAGGATCTGAATCCTTCTCAGTTTACAGAATAGCTGCTCTCTTGTAGGGTATATGAAATGAGATTCATTTTCTTCAGTTCACGCAGCCCTGCTGAGCACTCTGTTTAAACAGTGAAAGAAGAGATGGCCATGCCAAGGTTACTGCTTCACATGCCTGTGACTACCTAACTCTCCTGACATTTAGCATGAGGTGGCAACATGGATAGAGTAAGATTTACATCATCTGCATCTTGCGTGAGTGCATGAACATCAGAGCCAGTAGGCAAAATAATTCATCATCCTTCCCACAATTTTTGTAAATCTCAGCCAATTTTCTAGTTTCACTACAAAAGCCCATGTACAAAATGAGTTATTGTTCTTGGCGGGGATAATTTTCTTCTTTATTTTGGACCAATTTGAACTATTTTTTGAGGGGATGAAGGATGAGACAGGAGATTTTGGACTGTAAAATCAATTATTTGTACAGCCGTAAGGATCTGTGAAAAACTAGGTCTCCCAGTCTCTTTAATGATGGGAAAGAGAAAGAGTGGATATAAAGAAATACGTATGAAATGTAAAGTTTAACTTAAGAGTTCACTGTTTTGGTTTTGCTCGATATCTCCATTTTAGTGTTTATTATCTCTAGCACTGGATCCTTGAGAGAGTAAATTACTTGGAAGCACTCTTACACTTAGCATATGTGAAGGATCTCGCTGGAATGAGACATATCAATATTGGAATTCAGGCAGTCTGTAATGCTACAAGATGGAGAAAATGAGTACATGAGAAGCTTCTGGGGATGCAGGAGCTCCTGCATTAAATGAGTATGCCACACATTTGACGCTTCAGAGAGAAGGCCAGACGGTGACTCCTTTCTTCCCGTCTCAAACAGGTGAATGTTCTCACTGTGTGACTCTGCATTATAAAAACTGTGCACGAAATGAATTTGGGAGTCAAGAGAAAACTGTTATGTTAGTGGGACTCTACTAAAGAATGGAAACACCTTTTTCCCTGGATCTGTCTGACAACTTCTCTCTATAATCAGGGCAGTGACTGCAACAGTAGAAAAAAGTTAAATCATTTTCTCAGGTAAATCATTAGTAATCAAGATGGGAAAATCTTCAGCTCTTTCTCTTTGAGGCATTTTTGTTGAAGAATACAAAAAACTGTTCAAGGAAGTAAGCAAGATGCTGTTGCACAACTTTGTAGGAATTGAATTTAATCTTGGTGCTTCTAAACAAAATTCCCAAACTTCCACGTGCTCTGCAGAGATCCGGATCTTTCATGCACCAGTTCACACCCCGAGTTGCATAGCTAGGAGAGTAACTTCAGAACTGAACTTCAGATAGGACAGGAGCTTGCCACAATCTGCACAAAGCATGTATGCATGACTACTTTCACGCTCTTCCCAGTACTTGACTATTCCTTTGTTCTCCCAGTAATCCTATCCCTGCCCAAAATATAAACAAGTTTGTCTAAAAGACTGAGAAAAGTGCTTTAGCACTACAGACATGGGCCAAACTACATACAGATGAGTGCTTAAGCTCTGTAGACACAGATAACAAGAGTTGGCTGTGGGAAGGTGGTGCTGGAAAAGAGTCTAAGTTTACAGAAGTTACACTAGCCCACCACCAGGCTGGTTACAGAATGTAGGCCTATCTTAAACAGAAAAAGGAAAAGTTTTTAAAACTCTGAGCAGACAGTCCCTTACTGTACCACTGGGACCAAATGAAACCAGTGACAGAAGGGAGAGGTCTGTTTTGCTGTCCTGATGTCTTTCGCAGTATATAAGCATGACAATTCCCCCACAATTATTTATAAAACCCAACCTCCTCCATTTCTCTATTGTCAGAAGATTAATTATGACATCCTGGCCTCTTTGAAATGAAGGGGTATAGGATGTCACATTCAGTTCCTGGTTGCACTGTGTAGGTCCAGTTGTATGATGACTACTCAGACAAAAAGTTCAGAAACTCTGTAGCACTTGAATGCATAATGCCAGCCATGTCATGTTATTTTAACAGTGGAGTGAGAAAGCTAGGTGGCAAACACAATTTTGGCAAAAGCACAATTCTTCAGATGCAACATGTGCAAACCATTATTTTGTCTTGTAGAAGTATTAAGGAAATGCATGATGAAAAGCCAATTATATAATTAGTGTGGTAAGCAATTTATTTGAACGACAAGTGATTAAAAACATATCAGCAAACAGATATGGCATTACTTTGATTAGAGTGTGAAAAATAACTCGGAAAATACAGTGTAGGCAATAAAGTAGTGTGTATATTTTCCTAGTACCAGTCTAAAATGGAAGTGCCTTTAAAATAGGCAACTGCATTTTGACTGAGCGTTAGCTTTAATTCAAAAGGCTTGGAAAACTTTACCAGACATAGAAACTGAAACAAATATAGCTATTAGACAGAAAATGCTGCTCATTAGAGGCCAAGATGAAAGATGAGACCTTGTCAATCCCAACTGCAAGACAAGCTTCTAGAGAAGTCTACTTTCACTTCATCTCTGTCACCAACTTTTGCCTAGTGGGACTCTGTCTATTCATTTTTAACTACTGAGTAGAAGAACCTACCCCTGTTGTCTTCCTGCTGGTTGTTCCTGCCAAGGAAAAAGCTTTTAGATTTCTTGATACTGCAAATGGGCTGAATATCCTGCTGCAGTGTGAAAAGCAGAAAACAGACACTTTCAGCTTTCCCAAGTTTCTCCTGTACCTTTATCTTCTTGCCTTCCCTAACATCAATAGCAGCAGCAAAAAAAATCAAGATTTTTTATTTCACAATTGGCCTGATGAGCCTAAAGTAATAGTAAAACAAAATAAACTAGAAACACATTACAAAGGATAGCAAGCAGCTGGTCTTTGGAAAGCTGGTTCATTGCATGTTGTTAATGCTTTTCTTTTCATTTCCACATGTTGCACTGAACTGAAAGCCCACTTAGGTATTTTAATACAAGCAACAACTAAGGGTGCACATCCAAAGCAACTAGAATTCTCTAGGTTATGAGCTTGAGGTTAGAGACGCTATGATCCTGCTCTTTCTCCTTCTGTGTGCAATCCTGTTCTCTCCTTTATGGTACTGAACAGGGAACAGGTTCAAAGATGCTAAATAAGCCAAACATTTATACAATAAAATCAACTTTCTACATGGTTAATTTTTGCCATGCCATCTTCAAGTGACATTTTATGAGATAGGAAGTTGATCAACCGGCTGGCTGCTGTGAATAGTGCATGCCACCCATTCCATCTTACTTGTCATATCTGGTATGTCCTGATATCTCCCTCATTTTGGCTCTAGTACTCCTCTCTCTCAGTGGGCCAGTTCAACTCAGCAGGCTAAAAACTTGAGTTAATTTTTTTACCAGCTCAGTGGTTTAGGAAGCAGAAGAATCAACAGCCAGGGCTGGAGAGGAAGTCAAGGGAAGGAAACAGCCATGGTGAAGACTCCCAGATACTCCAAGTGGAGTGGAGATACTCAAAGACACGGACACGGGCTTGGGCATCCCGCTCTGGGTATCCTGTTTGAGCATAATTTGGATCAGTTGGACGTGGAGGGCCCTGTGAGCCTTCTGGGATTCTGTGAACCTCGCTACTGTTGTGAAACTTCATCTATAGTTGTCACATGGATACCTCACGATATTTTTTTTAACAGAGTAGGAAACAGACCCCAAAATACAGGCAGCCGTCATCATTTACATGACAAACATGTAAGATACCCACAGTCTGCAACAGTAGCATTTTATACCCCACTGACATTACTGTGTAAACAAACATACCTACACAGAGCACTGAACATTCTTGTTCTGCATCTTCAGTGAGTGGCATTCACATTAGGATGCTGCTCAAGGAGCCCCAGATGAGAGCACTGAAAGGTCTGGGAGACAGCAGTGTCTTGGTTTACATTTTGTTCCCGTTTGACAGTTAATTAGTAACTCACTTTTGGAAAATGAAAGATTACACATTCTGAGCAAATACAGACGTTTGATCTCAGGCTCATCAAGGAAAATTTCAGCTGCTGCCAGGGAAAAGCAAATGTTCTGTCACGTACATCCAGAGTGAGTTAATGTGAAACAGAAGATGAAGGCTACGGAGACAGCGTACTAACGCAGTCGTGCAGTTGTGGGGAGCACAGCAGACAAGGAAGAAAGTACAAAATAGCAGACAATAACCTGGTGAGCCTAACCTAAACCTGCTGGGATGACTCCTGACTGCAGTGTCAGCCTAAAGAGGTGCAAGTTTCCCAACACAAAGATAGAGGAGCGAAGCTTGGTGCTATATATCAAAAGCAGTTTATATTTCTGTCACAAGCAAACTGTCTCCTTGAGAGCACCAGGCGCTCAGCTCCAGCCATGCCCTGAAGGTTATGGAGCTGTCAGAGAAATGGCAGCAGCCAGCCAGCTCACACCAGCACAGCAGCAACCTCGGCTGCAGGAGGTGGTTTCACAAGAGCAGGTAGGAGTCCTCGTAGTGAAGGGAATGTGACAGAATCACCCAGCCATGGGAAAATGACTAGAAGTTTTCTGTGCATCATACTAAATCCTTCTCATTTTATTGAGGAAATCACCCCAGAGAGATGAGCACTGAATTGACAGTAAATAAAGCAGAAATTAGCCGACAATGGAAACATACAATACCAGTTGAAAGAAGAAATACTTGTATTTTTAAAAGAAAATCCTAGCATTTTCTCTCTTTTTTTTTTTTTTTTTTTTTTTTTTACTATGTCCAGGATAAAAAATGTCTACTCAGAAGTAAATCTGAACACTTAGAAAACACTAATTTCAGTCCAGAATGAAATTCATTTCAAGCAGGAATTAATGCAATATCCAGTAAAACAATCTTTTTTTTTTTCCTTTTCCTCTTCTGATGTGGATGGTTACAGCACTGGATGAATTCCCATCCTCTATATCATCACTGACTGCACCATTAATCTTTTGTGCTTGTTTTTCTCACAGGTTAGTCAGTGACTCCAGCTGATGTAACTTCCCTCACTGATGTTCCTAAGCATGCTCTACAAACTCAGAGCATAGAAAATAGAGACATAGAAAATAGAGACTTAATCCATACCTCCGTATGGATTAAGTTTTAATGTCTCAAGCCTGTAGGCCATCCCCAAGGCCTTTTGTCCCCAGAAAACTACTGCCACCTCGCCAGAAGCTGCTCACCTTCAGGTATCACCATAAGGCCTTAACGTTGCCCAGGAACATCTGTTTGCAGATGACAACCAACAGTGACAGTTTCCTACATAGCACGTTTCATTTCATTGTGTGCTGCTGCTGTCTTTCCAGGTTCTCACCAGCAGTTTTTGAAAGAGCTCCATGCAGCAGCATCCTTTCAGGACAGCCTTCCCATCCATGCTAGGCTGTCTCACCAAGTCTATTTCACCCATAGGTCTTCCACTCCTACTTCTGACCCCGCTTATTTTTTTTCTCCAGTTATATTTATACTAAAATATAAATACGATTATATATAACATTACCAAATTGTTGCCCTAACAAATAAAGTTCTATCTTATGCATTGCAATGTGTAGGAGAATTCAGAAAACATGATCTAACACAAAACTTACGCAATGAATACAATTAAGATGGTATGGATTCAAGATATGACCATAAAAGATAAATTTTCATTCCTTTAACAGCACATGTCATAGAGACTGCTGGCTGAAGCAAAAGTTAGTAACAAATAGGTAGCACTGCCAGTTTCAAAAAACAAGCAAACCTTCAAGACTCCACAATCATGAAGTACTAAAAAAATGAGAGTTAAAAATAAATACATTGGTCTTTGAGCTGCTTCTTAAAATCTATGTAGAAAACTGGTAATCTCACAATGAACATCAAGTTATCTGGGGGTTAAAAACTCAGCTGTAACAGCACAGTATTCTATGGCAAGCTTTGAAAATCTCAGGATGGGCTTACCCTGTTTTCTCTATTACCAGGATGGACTTTTAAAAATAATTTCATTTTAAAACAAATGTTCTTACTTTCAATTTGTTTGCTTCTCTACAAGCCTTAAGATTGCACCCAAGATATCCCTTTTTTCAGGATTTTCTTCACAGTTATGGGAAGCACAGGGGTATTTACGTTCCTGAGGTCCCACATTCAGAGATGAAACACTGAGAAAAGCACCAACCATTACAAAGTCACAAAAGACAGTAAATACTTACTGCAAGTTTGCAAAACAGATGTGCAGATATGAAAGCTGTTCAAGATGAAGTTGAAGCATCACTTTTATACTTAAACTATGTTAATTCTGACTTCTTGTATTCCACAAATCGTCAAATTTAACCTACATATCATTATAACAAGTCCTGTAATTGATACTGAGTGGAGAACATCTCTAGAAACTTGTGCTACTTACTACAAGCTGTGACTATTTTAAGTAAAAGTAGCTTGTAGCTGAGTTCTAGTGAAAACAAAACAAAACAAAAGCCAACTAAATAATAGTGGTCATTAAGGAAAAAGAAATTTAGAAGGATGCAGTTAGATACTGCACAACAGAATAGAAAAAGAAATAAATCATGAAAAAATATTCTAAAAATCATGATGCTTCTGCTAAGGAAGTAGGCATACATGAATGGAAAACCCAACAAAACAAACTTTGACTTCTACAGTTACACTGTAGAAATGTTGCTCTTTTTTCTTACTATTTGCCAAAAGAAAAATGAAAAAATAGTGATAGCTTTGAAAATACTGCTACGTAACCAAATGAAATGTGTTCTGTCAGACAGATGTTTGGAATCCGCACTCATTAACGTACCAGTATGAACAATTTGTTACAATCTGAAATTGCTCAAATGATGGAGCATTTGGAACAACAACAACAAAAAAATTACTCCTATCAAACACAGAATCTAAAACAGCCTAAGGAATGAAAAGACAAATTTCCTACCATGAGTAGGAAAAGAACAAGTGACTTTGAAAAGTGCTGTGTCAAAACTTGGTAAATTTGAAACAGTAAAGTAATACACTTACATAGGATTGCAGCAACACTGGGATCTGTTGGGTACAAATCTCCCACTAGATGTGAAAAGTGAGTTTCCTATGCTACAAAAGGCAATTCAGCCTCAAAAGCAGACTATTGGAAACCTGATTTTCTTATTTTTTGCTTCTTTTTTTTTTTGGTCAAAGTATTTGGTCAGCTGTAGCCTTTTTGCCACAATATAATGACAATTCTGGTATACATTTGTCTTATCAGACACGCTCACATAACAGATTCTACCACCTTCTCACATTGAAACAATTTCAGTCTTACTGAGACAGATTTCCACTAAAACAAACCAACCAAACAAACCAACAAAAAACATCAACTGAATTTAGAGAACTGATATTTTACATTTAACATGAGCATAATTATCTTCATAAACACAGAAAGAGACAGATTTTTAAATTAAACTATGCCAGGCCTCACAGCTGCTCACAGCTCACAAATCACACATCTCCACCGAAATTAGAGGTGTCCAAGTGAGCAGCCCACCTGAATGACAATACAGTGCAAAATAGATCATGCAGAAACAGCATCTGACTTAAAGGCAGTTTGATAGTAGTATATGGCTACCTTGCATTTATTCCATCTGAAACTTCAAAATGAGGACAACTCATCTTAACAATGTACAGCAGTTCTGCTTCTTATGTTTATAAAAATAAGGGTTCCACGTAAGCCTGCTGCAAGTGAAGTCGTAGGAAAAAAAAGTAAAAAGTAAAATCATACCAAATCACATAGAAATTAAAAAGAAATGGGAACTTTTTTATCACTCCATCACGAGATCCAGTTCCATCACTAATTAATTCCAGCGCCTGGCCAACACACTATGTAGGTTCTGTTTGTTTACTAATTACTACTTTTTCTCTATTTATTTACGTGATGGCAAATAATGCTAACCCAGTCCTGCCATTCCCCATGCCAAACTAAAGCTGTCAGCAGCATCCTCCTTCCCCCAAAAGTGGGCGCCTTTCACATCTAGAAAAGGGATGAGCAGAACTTTGTGCCTCCTGACCAGCATGTGGATCTCTTTTGTGATCCAAGAATTGGCCGTTGGCTTTGCGATGATTATCTTCTTCTGCTCCCAGCTCAGATGAAATCCTTGCACAAGTGATGTGGGTTCAGTAATGCAACAACCACCCCATCATGCAATGACAAATCATTTTTCTCTCTTTTTTAAAAGCCATGTGGAAAATTACATAACTAAAAGAAACGATGAAGGAACATTACTTAAACTGCAAGCTGAAGCAAGATTAGGAAATTCTAGCTTCATAATGGCCCAAACAGACTTAATTCTACCCACTTGTGTACAGCCAATAATATAATCTTTAGCTACATCTTTTTAATGCAGTTTCTCTCCTCCCAGAAGCATGTCCTGTTTTTAGCACTGAATAGGTACTCTGGGATCAAACTAATGCTGCGTATAATCTGGAATTTCCTAATATCTAGGTGCTTAACTTTTCAAGCTCAGTAACACTTTTTCATTTAGACTTCTTAAATATATAATTATTTAGATGACTTAAACGTACTTTTTGCTTACAAAGTCTTTTTCTGTTTACATATCATACTCTAGCCTAAATAAATGCTAAGACAAAGGCCAAGCTGGCTGGTAGCCCAGAATGTAGTTGTTAGCAAGTTGACAGGGACCACCTTATACTCATGGAAATGTCTAAATATTGTATTTGAGACATAAGTAAATTTTAAAAGGCGATCTTCACTGAAAGAAAAACTGAGCGGATTTAGAACAGCATAAACAAGTTGCTGGATGAAATGAGGACTCAATGGAATACGTCTGTTGAAGTCGTCTGACTTACCCCAGCTCTCCATTACTGTAAAACACCAAACACTTAAGGACAGGAAGTATCCTCATGTTACCATGTAAATAACTAATGGGCTCAGTTTATGTTAACAACTAACTCAGGGACTTCCAATTAAAACAAAACAAAACAAGGAAAAAAAAAAAAAACCAACAAAAAGACAAACCATCAACCTAAAATATGGCTAAGTGTCTGAACTTTTTCCCCAAAGGTAACTAATTCTCATAATTCTTCAGGTGACTTCCCTTTTCTCGCACAGATTCTGATTAAATGTATATGGTAAATGTGAGCATAGCACAATTTAAAGATGGTCTGCAAAGACAAATAAAAATGGTACTTTTCCCAATCTACTAAATATCTAAAAGGTGCAAGGTGCAGTTTAAAATTTTCTTGTACTTTTTTCCTTTTTCCTTTGAAAATTTGTGCAGTATTACTGTCTTATCTTGGTTTTACATATAAGAGCAATGGAGGAGGAAAGGAGTAGAATGGAAGTCTCCCTCAGTTCAGAAGCAGCAGGGTGATGAGTGACATTTTTTTCTCTTGGCTGTTCACCCAAAGCTTGAATTAAACATTTTAACAATAGCCAAACAAAATGGGAGTTTCATATAGCCTGACTGAAAATCCCTTTTCCCTCAAAAATGACAGTTTCTTTGTGACAGATGATGGCTAGAGATGACGGCTTCACCTCTTTGTTTTCCCAGCTACTCACAGTCTTTCAGTAAAAACAAGATAGACAAGAAGTGATACATATTTAAAATAAAACAAGACCTTTGCAGAAACCTTGCTACAAAAACAAAGCAAGTTCTTCAGGCTTTCCTAATATGTCTTAAGAATCTATACAAGAGAACATAGTTCTGCCTCCTTTTCAGGAATTCTTTAGAGATTCAGGATTTTACTATGGTGAGATAGGCAAATCCCATTGACAAACATGCCATACAAACACCAAAAGACGTGTCTACGTATAAATTTACTAATGCTGACATTCTGGCCTTACTAGATAGTAATAAAAGTACAGGAGTGTGGGTGAAGGTATTATACCTGGTCATGGCTGGCTTCAATGGAGCTTCCGATACCTTGGAAAGTCATCTGCACAGGAGACAGTGTCAAACAGGTCATACACTCTTTGCCATTTTGTCTATCATTGTAGTGTACCTATAACAGAATAACATACGTAATCTGCTAAACACCAGGTTTGTACAAGGGAGTCATGCTACAATACTGTCCCTTTTCAACAAGTTTGT